CCTGGATGGATGCTTCATAGACAAGACTAACTAAACAGAATGTATTACTCAGAGTAATAAAAAAATGAGTTTTAGTATGCAAATAGCAACACTTTTGGGAAGCTATTTCATGCTGAATGCAACATGCTGGTCATTTTACCATAGTGTTCTTTGTTTTAAAGAATGCAGTGGTACATTTGCTTAAGTTCAAAACGTTAAGTGTAGACCAGAGCTAACACATGACGGAAAAAATACATCAGTGGCCTGTGGATCCCTGTATGAAATAAAATCTATGCAGACTGTTGACAATTCCAGTCTGGGCCCCTTCATTTGTTTTATGTACAAAATGAAGATGTCAGAAATGACCCACTTCTCTATAGGATTACCTAGAGATTTTGGCCTGTTCATACATTAAATGAAGTGTTGTATTGACCATCAGAAGTTTGTATAATAACAGTGTAAATGATCATATATAAGGGTGTTTAGAAAGAGACAAAGTTGGCTCCAAATGCTCAAGCCTTATGTTCCAAGTGTCACCACCCTTCCTTCCCCAAGCCTGGCTGCAAGGAAATTGCCTCATTAAGCTCTCCAGTCTGAAGTTGCTTGCAAAAAATCTGGCTTATTTTCAGAAAGACATACTATTTTGAAATTGTGCACCATTGTGCTTTAAAAGAAGAGATTCTTATTTAAAAAAAAAAAAAAGTGCATTGCAAGTGTAGTCTGTTAGAAGAGTCTCCAGACTGGTGCCCCTGGTCTTTCTTCCATTTGAAAATGCCTTGACCCTTGAAGTGACTTGTTGCCATTGTCCTCTCACAAACAGGTGAATGCTTACAACAGACCTAAAACCCGCCCAAGCTAATAACAGGAGATTTTCTTTATCTGGGTTTTTGATAGCTTTTGGCAGATAGGTACTTCAGGAGAAAGGCCGAGGACTTTGTTCAGCTCCTGTCATTAAACAAGCAATTCTGGTATTAGGAAATTACTAAGCCCCCAATAATACAAGAGCAAGCCCCAGGTATAAAAAAAAACCCGTTTACCTGATTAAACAAAAGTGCATATTTAAAAAAAAGTGGCTTTGCCAGTAGCAGCAGGACAGTGGCGACAGAGAAGCTCTTCTCCTTACCTTTTGTTAAAAGGAAAGGAAGAACCCCATGAGGTGAGGCATGCTCAAAAACTTGCTTATCTGTCCTAGATCTCATCACCAGAAAATGCACTGTGCTCACATTTTATTGCATCTTCAAAGGTCTTGGTCTCTCACTTCCTAGGCTTCCTGCTCCGCTCCGAGCAAGCTCAGACACTAAAGCTTCCCTTCTCTCCGGGAGCGGGAGGCCAGCAGACAGTAGTCCCCAGCTGATGGCAGTGCAGGCAGGGACGGGCAGCTGCCCGGCTCTCTGCCTGCCAGGCAGCTCTGGAACACCTGGGTTTAGGTGTACCCCCCCTCCATCAAACTCCAGCTGTAATGAAGTTGATGCCTGAACCGTGTGTTTGGTAGCTGCGGGTTTTTTGCCCCACGAGGAGCTTTGCAGCTTGGGGTGCTGGGAAAGGCAGCGGGCGCTGGTGTGGGATGGAGACGGGGATGCAGCCCAACGTGGGTCTACCCAGGGCCACAGCCTGGGTTCTGGGGAGAGCTGGTGTCCTGTCTCGGGGCAGGGGAAGCAGTGACTGGGCACACAGAGACTAGTATACTGCTACTCCCTGCATCCCACTGAGCTGACTTGACATTTCAGGTGCTCCGTGGTTCTGAGCCCCACAGTTACTCACTGCTTGCAACTCATTGTGATTATGTGCTGGCTGTGGCAGTGCAGTGGTGGTGCCCACGTGATACCTCTGATCTTACAAGAGCATCGTTCTGCTCATGCAGTGTTGGAATGAATTACAGGAGTGATGGAAATCGGGGCGTGTCGTAGAGGCAGCTACAAAGAGCTTGGGGTGATCTCTGCAATTCATCTGATGCAGGAGTCGTTGCAACATACAGGCAAGGACTGGTGCGACCAAGAGCAGGTTGCAGCACTGCCTTGCTGTACTGTGGGCTACACAGCTGGAGCTCTGGAGCAGGGTGCTGTGCTCCATGAGACGAGCAGCCTACAGCCAGTCACCTGAAATCAGTGTTCAGTGCTGCCCAGGCCATCTTAAACAGCCGTGTCCCAGCTTCCTTTGACACCATCCATGCTTCATTTGTATTCTGACTGTGCCAGTGGTATGGCACATACGTATGGCACATACCATTTTCCCTGTAACCTTGTTTCCAGAGGAGGGAAACAGGGGTGCCTGGGCTGGCAGGGAACTCCCGTGCACCCCTGCAGGGACCCTCCTGTGCCTAGCTGGGCTCAGATGCAAACAGGGGTAGCGGGTGCCTTCCTCCAAAGCACAGACCTCCTCGATCGTAAGGGCTCCGAATGAATGCAGTGCGCAGTTTTCTGAGCCATGTGTCTTGGCTAACCTTGGGCTGCATTTCTTGAGGATGTCAAAAGGTATCTGACCCCCCTCCATGTGCCATGTCAAACCCTAATTATACTGAATCTTCTCAAAAAAAATACAACAATTGGAAAATTTGGTTAAGAGCTGGCTAATGTTGGTAAAATTACCTGCTTTCCTTAACCTTTTCCTTGGACACAGCAGCACTTTTTTTGTTGTGGTTTCTCCCCTTCCATAAACAAGCCAGCCTGAGGCAGAGGGTGAAGTTTAGCTCCAGTGACTGAGACTTGGGAAAGCTGCTAGCAGTGAGAAGCATTGCTTATAGTGGAGCTTCGCTGGGGTAGGTGCGGTACGGCTGCAAGCCAGTTAACTTGACCACAGCTCCTTTTTCAGGGGCAGTCCCACAGCCCCCAGCTCTCGGGACAAAAGGTGAATATAGGGAAAGCTTGGTCTGCCCGCCGCACGCACACGACATTGCAGCAGAGGTTTTTGTGTCGCCGTGTCCTGTACTCTGTTTCACTGTGGTGTTACTCACGGTGCTGAGGGAACAAACTCCTGAGTCAGACTGCACACAGGTAGCCCAGATACTCAGGAGATTTCGATGACATCTTGCTCTGGCTTTAGCTGATGTGATCCACATCACTGTGAATATTTTTGTCTCTTAATACAGCCAGCATCTCATCCAACCTCTTTTTTCCTGAGTCAGTTTGAAAAGCTGTTCTTCGTGGCCTCTCTCTGGCAGATGCACCTTCAGAGAAAGGTTGTGATGCTTCATTATATTAAGCAGGACAGTTTCACGGCAAGGAGAGGACATGATTTTGCAGCTAGCAGCTGCTGGCTAGTAGCCAAGAAAAATGGGTGTTCGTGACCCACTGGAGCTAATTGCGCCCATCACAAACGTAAATGTCAGCGGAACAGATACTCTCCATTTGACGTGTTTTCCCAGTCTGGCTAGGATGACAAATTAAACCTCCATACATGAATATTTCAGACTCTCCTGAATAACGTGGTATTGTGTGGAGAAAGTGGGCGTATTTGGTCAGAGCCCAGCTCCCCAGCATTGCAGTCGCACACTCAGTTCCCAGGCTGACACAAGCACCTGTGGGACCCCATGGAGGTCAGTGCCCAGCTCTGTTCTTCAGCTCCCCTGCCTGAAAGTGGGAATGGTGATACCAGGTCTTACAACTCCTGCCAGATGCTGCCAGGGCTTTGGTTAAAATACTCGCTGTAAAACTCCTGTTACCAAAAAACTGCATTTCTCTACTGCCTGAAGTCTTTGGGAGAGACCCAGCTCTTACGCAGACCGAGGCTTCAGTGAGTTTATGGTATCGGTACCTTTTCCAGTATTGTAGAAGGACTCCATGGGGCTGCTTTTAGAAAAACACATTTACTGTAGCACCACCTGCCCACCTATACAGTGTCATATTGATACCCTCGCAGTCCCAGCACGCTGCACATAATAGGCATTGTGTTTATACAGTCATCGCTTGGGTTTTATTTTTCAGTTTCTGCTATAACCAAGTGTTTGTCAATGTTTTCTCACGTTTTTTTTAAATAGCCATTTTATTTGGAATAAGAATGTGGAACCTCCTGTAATATTTTAATAGTTCTCGTCTTCATTGCTGTGTCTGGTTTAAGTGGTGAATCCTTCGCATTTATTTGTTTATGTATACTTCATGTTCATTGCAGGACTCCTAATGCACAGAGCTCCCAAATTTGTGTCGCTGTACTGTATCCTGCTCTTTCTCCAGGTGTTGTGTAGTATAATTTGTAATGTAGTGGTCTCTCAGGCTTGGCTGTGCATTTTCAACTTACATCTTTTTCTAGTAGCTGTCCTTGCTTTAATGTCTTCTGTGAATTATTGCCAATAACTATTCCTGGGACTGTTAAAATAGTCCTGCTCTCAGAGCGAAGGTGTGGGAGCGTACCCTACACCTCCTCCTCCTCCTCTGCTGTTGAAATCACTTTTCTTCTCTGGAATGCGCTCAGAGAATGATAACATGGCTTCGTGTTTGGGACTGCATTGTTTGTTCCCCTTGCGTGATTTTTCACAGATAAACAGACCCTTCTTCGCCTTTGCCTTGGGGACCCAAATGTGTGAGTGATACAAACTCAGCAACAGAGCACTGTGCTGTTTCGGGGACCTCAAAACGCCTCCTTCACTTTGAGTTACCATCAATTTGCTTGATGGTAAAACTGAAGTGCCTCTGTCTGTGTGACTCTGGTATAGCGCATGTTGGTTATTTCAGGAGAAGTAGTGAAGACCACCCAGGTCACTTAACCCTGCATAGGAGAATGCAAAAATTCATATACCCTGCCCTTCATTTTTTGCAACATTTTGGGTTCCTGCTCAAGAAGAATCACACAAATGAGCAAGAGTAGATAAAATACTAAGATTCGGAGAGTCTAATAAATACGGCATTAGCATTGTTTAACCCAGGGAGTTTGTACACAGTGATTACCTGTGAGAATTCAAGGTCATTTTCTGCCTCAGCAGATGCTCCTCGGGAATATGAGGCTGATGCTCTTCCAACTTCTACTGGCTCAGAAAGGAAAAATAACCCTATCATCCCCACTAACAGCTCAATTTGCTTTCTATCCTCTAGGACTGCCTTAAAGCTTGTCAAGAACAGATCGAGGCGGTGCTAGTAAACAACCTTAGGCAAGTCCGGCAGCAGCAACAGCAAAGCAATCCTTCTAAGACGGTGGATGAACTGGACCAGGCCAGCACTCCCACAGATGTGAGAGATATCAACCTGTGAGGACATCGGCACAGAAAGTCACGCTTGCTCCCCCAGCCCTTTTATTTTTGTTATTATTTTTAGAGTGATTTTTTTTTAATCTGCTCCCACATAGAATGTATTTAAAGCTCTTTTAGGGAAAAAAAAAATACAAAAACTGAATAATGAAAAAAAAAAAGCATTTGGTGCCTGTGATGTTCTACAGAAGGGAATCCCACAATATATTTGGTAATTGCTATTTGATTATGTATCAGTGATATTAAATGCTTATAAAAGCATACAAAGTAGCTAGATAAATGTAAGCCTGCATTTGTGGGAACAAAGTAGAGTATACTTGTCTGTGTATTATGACCTAGTGCATACACCCCTTTTTTAGATTTAAGAAAGGAATCGTGTGTGCGATTTTATGGCTTGACTAGATTGCAAAGCAATAGAATAAGGGGTTTAGGGCAAAGTGGGAAAAGATCCCTGAAGCAATTGAACCATTTTGAATGCAGAAGAGATTTGCTGATCGGTCACCTCTGTTATTAGTCAGAAGTGTTTGTTGGATCTCTGTATGTTAGTTTTGTTTACTCTTGCTGTCTGTGGTAGCTGCTACCTAAGAAAGAAGATGCTTTATTTTGCCAGCCGGAAGAGCAGGTGGTTTTGTTTTGGTTGGTTTTTTTGTTTATTTTTCTTTTTTTTTTCCAAATTCCCCTCTCCCCTCTTGACTTTTTCTACTTTTTCTTCAGAAATGGTTCATTCTAAACACATCAGCATCTTTGGCATAAGGGCAATTCCGTTTACCCAACTGTGGGCCAAGCCAAAGTTACCGAGTGTTCACGTTAGATGGGGGAAATGCACCAATTAATTCCGACCAGTCGGCTAATCAGACCGCCTCCGACCTTTGGATTGCAAGATGCGGTGGATCATCTGTGAAAAGCATTATATTCCTTTACAGTGCTAATGCTTTACGTCAATGTTAACTTTTGGCAGCTCCTTAGCTTGGCCGTAAAGACATTTAAATGATGCTCTGTCCATCTGCCTTTTTAACATATCCTCACTGTGTTAAAGAAGATGAGATTTGGTTTGATCCCTCTTCTACCTACCCATCTTCCCCCACCACCCCCGCACACTTTTTCAGCGTTTCATTAACTTTCTTGATCCACAGTGAGTGTTTTTGTAAACCATTTCATTCGAAAAGCACTTTGAAAATTGTTCCTAAGGGATTAAATGAGATGGTTTATGACAATTTTTCCGAGGAAAAAAAAAAAAAAAAGAAAAAAGAAAAGAAAAGAAAAGAAAAAAAAAGAAAGAAAAAGTCACAAAAGCAAAGCCTATAGCTTTTTATAGTCAATATTTTCCAGTATCTGGTGTACTTGGTTAGTTGCGGTGTTGCTGGAAATACCAACACCTGCTTCAGATGACATTCCTGTCATGACATTCCGGATAAAAGCCTGATGATTTGTATTGTTCAGTGTCACAGAAGGATCTTAATACCACCTGCATGCTTATCTATGGACAACGGAAGAAAATTGCTGGTGCAAAAAGACACGAGTGGTAAACATCAAGGTGCGTGACTTCGAATTTTATTACAAAGGTGTATTCAGTGTACTTGAATTTAATTTTCTGCTCCATCTGTAACGAAGAGGCATTTAGATGGCAAAAGAGTTGGAGCAACTTTTTTTTTTTTTTTTGCACAATTGTATTAACAGTTTGCAAATATACAGTATGAAGCTGTTGGTTGAAATGTTAATGTTTGCATTTTTAAGACAAAAATCCAGAAAGAACATGCTACTTCGAAGAATATTATATGAATGGACTCAGCCGTATTTGGCTAGATGAGGGTAGAAAATGGAGTAAGATTCTAAGGTTTTGTTGTTTTTTGGGGTTTTGGGGGTTTTGGGGGTTTTTTGGTTTTGTTTTTGTTTTTTTTTTTGCGCTGCTAAGAAGCTATGATTTGTTTCATTCTTATTCACATTAACAGTACTTAGCTGTATTGTTTCACTGAGTGTGCTGCTATTTTATAAACATTTTTATAATATATTATTTTACTGCTTAAATTTCAAATCCTGAAGTAGATGGTTAAGTGGAGATATGATGAGTTCTTTGATTTACTGGAAATGCCCTGTACAGTTTTTTTTTTTCCTAATAGCGTGTTCATGATTTTTTTTTTTTTTTTATTTTATTTTATTTTTTCCTTCTTTCTTTTTTTTTCCCCTTCCTTCCTGATCACATCCTGCAAAGACGGTATACTTACCTCAGGTTTACTGGACAAAACAGAAATGGTTCCCATTTTCACAATACCTCACAACGTGACAGTTCGGTTTTTCCCCAGGGCCCGCGCTCCGGCCGCGCCGGGGAGAGGTTGCAGGCAGCCGGGGTGCTGGCTCCCTTTCGGTCTTTGGTATCCTTTTCATAGTGGAAAAAATGCATTGACTCTCTGCCGGCGACTTTGCCGAAGCAGGTCCGTGTTTCCCAAAACCAGTGGAGGGGACGGCCTTGTTCTCACCACCATCACCTCCCGCCTTGATGTTCCACGTTGCGAGCACGTGAAGTTCAGCAACGGTGTCTCTCCTGGAGGAAAAAAAATAATTAATTTTGTGGAAGCAAGACTCTGGAGCGGCATGCAGCGTATACATGACAGAGCAGATCATTCCCTGGCAGCCCTCCTATGTTAGCAAAACGTGGCTTCATGGGGAGGCGTGCCAGAGGGTCCCCGGACGGTGGGATGCCCTCTCCACACGCTGGGCTGTAGCACAGCCGCCCGCAGTGAGCGTAGGCGCCGCGTCCATCGCGTTTGCCTGGTTTGCTTCCCTTTGTGCTGTAGGTCAATTGGAGGCGGGAGTAGTGTTTAGGGTGCCTGCCCCTGCTCTTCATCGCTCCTCCTGCGGTGCCCCAGTCCCACAGGGACCCGGTGGGTCTGCGCGTGTCACCGCTGGGGGTAAGAATGTCCTCGGCTGCAGTGACATACTCAAAAAATACTAACCGTCTGGTTACACCCAGAAGCGTACTGTATTTGAAGTCTGGAAAACCTAGAACTTGAGCATTTTCACAGTAGCATTCAAAATTAAAATAGTACTCCTTTTTAACAGATGTCAAAAAAAAAAAAGAATACTATTACTGTAAATGAGGTGTGAGATTTTTTTCCCCGAATTGCAGAAATCATAAACCTTCCTATTGATGAATTAAAAAAATACATTGCTGATTATACCTTCACAAGTGCCAAAGGATTGGCACAATTGCTAAAAGCATTTCTCTCTCAGCTTCCTATTGATGGTACTTTGACGATCTTCCCCTCCCTCCCATTACTGTAGTGTAGGAGCACCTCGTAATCAATTTATTTATATTCCCAACATGCTTGCGAAAAATACTATTAATCCCATTTCAATGTCGATGATTTATGCTTGAATAATCGGACGGCTCTTAATTACTCAGCAAACCACCTGGCCACTGGATTTTTTCCACTATGTTTATTACCATGTTCTCATGTACCTCAGAAATCACTCTCGGTTGCACAGTTTCTGTTCTCAAAACTTTTTTTTTTTTTTTTTTTTTTTTTGCTTTATCGAGTGTGATGCCATATCAAGTCAACGTTATTCTCTCACAATGTGCTCTTTAAGAGGTGTGGATGTTTATATGGTCAGGGGATGCTAGAAAGTGCGGTAGTAGACATGATCAGTGTAAACAAAAGTATTTAGAAAGTATGCGAGGTTGTTTTCGATGGGTAAGACTCTGATACAGTGTAGTCTTGATTACCTTTTAAAAGGTCTTCTTTGTTCAGTGTTGTCATTTTTATTAATAACCTGTTGTTTTGACTAGTTTAAAGATGGTTCTAAGAAAAGTGTTTTGGCGGGATTAGGTATGCTGTATGGACAATAAACTCACCTTGACCTAAATTTGCCTGTCTTGGTTTTATTCATTCAGTGTGAAGACGGTGCAAAAGGAGATGTGATTCTGTGATTGTAGGTAGATGGTGTTAGTAGGCACATAAAATGTGAACCACTGAATGTTGCAGAGAACAAGTTTTCCTCTAAAACACTGCTCATTGCCCACTGGCATGTTTCTTCTGTGAAATGGTCCCGTGAGATTTAAGGAGAACAAAGTCCTAAAAAAGGTAAGTTGCTGGATCAAAACATTCTGTGGAAATTAAATTGAGCTGGTGGAAAAGTCCTCCTAAGTACACAGAGCGCACACTTCTGCAAATAATTGAAGTACTACTTAAACCTCCACTCAATTACTTGTTGCATTTAAAGGCTACTGCAAAAATTCTGTTGTTTTTCTTTCTACAATCTTTGGGCAAACTGAGTAAAAGGAGAGGGCTTTGTGGTGAAGCCAGTGGGAAGAAATGAACCTCCATGCACCCAAGTCTCCTTCCTCAGCCCGTGCCCAGGAGGCGGGATGCTTGCCCTCGCCCTCTTCCATGTCTGCTGCTCACGGGGGCTTGCTGTGAATCGACCAACCTCCCGTGTGACGTGCTTGGCCTGACCTTGGGGTCTCTCCATCTCCACTGCCATCCAGTACCAGTCTTCTACTGAATTTCAGGCCTTTGGGCATCCGTGGGGAGAGCAAAGAGGCACTGAAGAATGAAGAAGAGGTATTTGCATAGACACACTAGGGGAAAAGTAACACCAGTATAAAGTGAATAATATAGCCAAAAACAGAGAAGAGAAATGAAAAAAAAAAGAAGGAAAAAAAGATGTAATGAACAGGGAGAAGGAAAAATACTCAAAAGGAAAGACATTGCTAAAATGAAGAAACATATGAGCAAAAATAAATAGACATGAACAAACAAAAAAAATCATGGATGGGTTAGAAGAGACAAACTAAACCTTGAGGTTGTGTCAGGAGATACAGATCTAGTCATAATCACACAAACTTGGGAGCTGTGGCTTTAGGCAAAGTCTCTCAAAACTTCCCTGGAAAATGACCTGTGAGCCTCCTATTTCACAGGTTGTCTGCACCAAAGGTAGATTTTAAAGGTAGATTTTAAAGCATCACAAGTCCTCGTGTTCCTCTGGCCACCATTTAACAACATGACCAGCAATCTGCAGCATGTCATAGGCGTAACTTAGAGCCTATGAAGAACTGGAACTTGCAAGAGTTGTTCTTACACCTTCCATTTGTGGTTTAAAGCTCAAAGGGGTGCTCTCTGGCCTAGTTTCAGGTTTCAGGGGATTAATTCCTTTCCCACTATAGTGTCATCAATAGTCCTCCTGGAATTGCACGGATGTGCTCTGCAGTTTTGTGTTTTAAGAGGTTTTACTAAATCTGGATCTAGCAGAAAAGAAATTTTCTGTTGCCGTTGAAGTAAATGTATGTTTCCAGAATTAGTGGATATAGGGCGCAGAAGCTAAAATTGAAATTAATTGGACAACAGCCTGTTCCCTTCCTTTAAAGAAAACTGGCTGAATGTTGAGAAGCCACATACAATAGGGTTAAGTTCCATTATTATGTGGCCTGTGAAACCATTTTGTATTGTCGTCTTCTTACCATCTGCAAACAATTTCTGCCCATCATGATCCTATACTTTACATAAGGACAGCCTGAGGATTTTAAGGAGGGACAACATAGCAAAATCATGCTTTAAAACAACTGCATGCTGGACTGACTTTTGTGTTTAAGCAAGCTGTGAAGGCAAAGAGAAGAAAGCTTTA